CCGACATACTCGCATACATAACTTAGCTAATACATTGCTGTCGTGTTCGCGCTTAAGCTGCTGCATTTTTTGTTTGCCTGCGCTTCGCATAATACATGCATAAGAATTAGCTGTTCTGCTAACGCACGCAAGGCATTTGTATTAGAATTATTCTTTTCGTTTGTCGCCACTTTCGCTGCTGCTTCCAAAAGTATTGCCTTCGACGGTCAGTCAACTGCAGTTATTCTCGTTTTCGTTCGCACTGCTAGACGACCATCTGTTGCGCTCCCCTACACTTGCTGAAAACAGCATATTATTTTCGATTTCTCGTTCGATCAAAGCTTAAAACCTTAAATAAATATGAGTAAGGACTTGATCGAAGAACTTAAAAGGAAGCAATTAAAAGAAGGCTCGATTTCGTTAGAGCCAATCGAGTTAGAATGCAGGTTAGAGCTTCTAACAACTCATATAGAAACTGCAAATATATTGCAAAGCAAAATTGAAGCAAAAGATACAGAAGATGGCTACCGTGAAGAGTTGGAAGAAACTTGCATTCTGACCAAATCCTTATTAAAAGGCCAGCTGGAAAAACTAAGAAAAAAGCATCGACAATTCAAGTTCGGCAAACGGTATTGCACTGTATACTTCAAAAAAGCCAAGGTGTCGATTGCCAGCGGTCGCTTTTCCAACTTTTAGCGGCAAGCATTCTGACTCAGGCATCAAGCAGCGCTTTTGGGCAGACTGGTCAAAAGACTACCTGCTGAGCCTGCAGCAGCGCCAAAAGTGAGAAGTGGGTCGGCCAGATCTGGAAAACGGAACGATCGTACTCAACCACGAGGACAACGCGCCGCCTCAGCAGTGGATGCTGGGAGTCGTCCAAGAAGCGATAAAAGGCGCAGATGGAAATGTGCGCGTGGCGATAGTACGGACGAAGGCTGGAGAATTTAAGAGGGCAATTCATCGCTTGGCGCCTCTGCCAGTCGAGCTGTTTTGAAGCGAATCGCTTCAACGCGGCCGACGTATGGGCATTTCATGACTTTATTCTTAAGTATAGATTTAAGTTTGTTGAAATAATCTGAATTGTAGATATAAACTGTTTCAATTATCATTGAATTGTAGACTTAAGCCGTTTGTAAGTAATTAGTTGTAAGCGCTCATAAGTGTTAATTTGTAATTACAGCTGTTTATGTTAGTCTCTTGGTCGCTGTTAAGTTAATGTCCACATTATGTAATGCGTATGCTAAGCCTTGCATGGCTAGCAATAAAGCACTTGAAAATTGGAATTTTCCAAAATCCCTTCTTAATGCGCATCTACACCATGATAGGATACTTAAGCCCAAATTTCAGCATCCTAGCTTTTACCGTATGGACTGTGAGCTGTTGACGCGGTTTGCTTTTGTGCCCCAACATTTTTTTACAGGAAAACTCCCATATTTTGGGCCCTAAAAAAAATATCAAAAAACCAAGTATACAGTTTTTCTTGTTCTGAGAGTATACAAACTAAGTTTGAAGTTAATCAGATGAAAACTGTAGATTTTTCATACAGACGTTGGAGCCTGTTTTCCCCCCTTTGTAGCTGGAGTTTTCCAAAATCTCTTCTTAGTGGGCACCTACCTAGCCTATAAAAGGATACTTGAGTCCAAATTTCAGCTTCCTAGCCTTTACCGTTTGGGCTGTGCGTTGATCACCAATCAGTCAGTCAGTCAGTCGGGACAAACTGTACAAACTGTATATATATATATATATATATATATATAGGATACTTATGTATAATATGTATTTTGGGGACCATTAAATTTTGCCATTTTTTTTATAAAATTATATAAATTGAGCACTTAAGATGGCTTTCACAAAATTTTGGACCTATTGAACTGTTGTGTCGGAAAATAAAGATAATAATGTGGCCAGATGTATTTTTCGGGGACACCTTATGTAACGTATATTTTTGGGACGGCGTCCCTGAAATCAGCGCTGCGCAACAGCTCCAATATATGTATAAAAAATTATGTGTAAAGTTGATTATGGGGACAAAAATGTGGAGTTGCCACTCGATGCTTATAAGTATGCGAAAGGTTAATTTTAAGGACCGAGGGGGTCCCTGAATTGATAGTATCGTTTCCCTCCGTATGTACTGCGTTCATTTTGAGGACAGTCCCCAAAATTGTCGATAGAAAGAAAATAAATACATACTGTTCCCAGAAACTGTTCCTATTTACTGTTCCCAGTCCCCATAATGATTGTTTGGTACAAAATAGTACATATATACTTGTATATACAACCATTACAGCGGTTAAGGAAGGTTTTTTAGTAGAACAATATTGATTGCTGAAAACAACATATAATGCAAGTTTGGTACAAAATTCTTAGCAATACATGTGCTTTCTCGCCTCAGCTTTTTTCAGCTGCGCCGCAAATAATAGTTTGAACGCTTTTTTACATATGCCAATATTTTATATTTCTATAAGAATACTTGTATCTAGTCTTACATGTACTTAATACTTGGATAATATAGATTTCGTACATATGTGTGGTATATAAATTTTATTGTTTATTACAAAAAAGAAACGAAATTTAATCATAATTCTTAGCATTACATGTGCTTTCTCGCCTCAGCTTTCCTCAGCTGCGCCGCAAATAATAGTTTGAACGCTTTTTTACATATGCCAATATTTTATATTTCTAAAAGAATACTTGTATATAGTCTTACTTGTACTTAATTCTTGGATAATATAGATTTCGTACATATGTGTGGTATATCAATTTTATTGTTTATTGCAAAATGAAACGAAATTTAATCATAATTCTTAGCATTATATGTGCTTTCAAAAAAGAAACGAAATTTAATCAAAATTCTTAGCAATACATGTGCTTTCTCGCCTCAGCTTTTCTCAGCTGCGCCGTAAATAATAGTTTGAACGCTTTTTTACATATGCCAATATTTTATATTTCTAAAAGAATACTTGTATCTAGTCTTACTTGTACTTAATACTTGGATAATATAGATTTCTTACATATGTGTGGTATATAAATGTTATTATTTATTACAAAAAAGAAACGAAATTTAATCATAATTCTTAGCATTATATGTGCTTTCAAAAAAGAAACGAAATTTAATTAAATTCTTAGCATTACATGTGCTTTCTCGCCTCAGCTTTCCGCTGGTTATCTAACCATGTCTTCAGCTGCGCCGCAGAACGATTTTTCAAATATGTAGAGTTTTTAATTACGTTGTTGCACTGTTTGAGGGACGGCAGATCCTTCATGGTTTTTGCATTACCGAACGCTTTCATCATTTCAAAACGCTCCTCTCTCGTCCAACGTACCCGTTTTATAAAACCAGTGGGCGACCCTGCAAAAGATCAAAAATTAAAATTGAATGTGTAATAATAATAAATAATAAAGGTGACCGGACCTACAAAATTTTTACTTAAGTATATTCAATACTTATAAAATAACTGTGCTCAATAAATTAGAAAATATACAACCAACAGTTGTAGGATTGAATATTACAAATTCGTTGCTTTGTAAGCGTAGTACAAATTGTCAGTTAGAAAACTGAAATGATTTTAGGCAATTCTGTTCTCAAAATCCAAAAATATTGTCAACATTTTGAAGGCTTGTACTGGACAGATCTAGAAAACTGCTGTATGATGCTATTAGGCAAGATTATATTGGATAGCTCAGAAAAGACCCAAGATATTTTCTGTATTATGTATTATGAGTTATTGGATAGATCTCTTCTGGATTTAATACAAAACTAACTGCATATAGCAAGGAAAAAATTGTTTTCAATAAGCCTTGCCTGCATAGTCGTCATGACTTCGAATGAATTTTACATCTTTTTCATTCTTCTGCCCTGTGGGTATTATATTTTTCTAAAATTAAAGAAACGACGAGGTCAAAATAGATTTCATTTAAATAGGGCCAGCCGATAAATCCTACTTTTCTGATGGAATTTAAAAAATTTCTTCTTACTCAGGCCAATTTCCTAAATATCGATTCCCTGAATATGGTTACCATCGACCAGTACTGAATATGTAAAAGTGATTATTATAATGATATGACTATAATGCATGTTCTGGGTTATAATACGAAAAAATTAATCTTATAGATATACAATAATAGTTTGTTACCGTTTAGCGGCTACTGTACATAAATAATGGTAATTTCAAAATTACTGCTTCGGCGCTTGCGTATGGGCGTAATAAATTCCTCATCATTATTTTTGGTATTGTGATTGTCAGGCTTACAAACATTTTCTTCTTCAGAAAGGAGATCATCATCTAACACAAAAAGAAAAATAATGCATTTATTTTTGGTGTGTTTTTATACCCAAAGGGTAAAAGGCGTGGCAGACCCCATAAAGTATATAAGTATATTCTTGATCAGGATGACAAGCCGAGTCGATATAGCCATGTCCGTCTATCCGTCTGTCTGTCTGTCTGTATGAACGCAAGGATCTCAGAAAATATTAGAGCTAGAATAACCCTCCACTCCCCCCGCTATTCGCGATTTTCTATAACTCCCGTAATTCTTGGAACTTTGCACTAAAATTTGGTAGTTAGTGATTGTGTGTCAACTTTGTGCTGCATACACATACGCGCATATAAACACGCAGAGACACGATTCTGATGTAAATTTATTCTATTGAAATTGTACATAAACACTTTTGTATGTATGTATGCATGTGTTGAATATTTTATATTTAATTTAATTAATTTTTTAAATTAATTAAATTTGTTAAAATTCATTTTTTTTAATTTTCCTATTTTGTGGAGAGCTTTACTCTATTTTATTGTCGGGCTTGCTCGACTGTAGCGTTCTATCTTGTATTTTTCTGAAAAGTATATGAAAAAAAAATATCTAATTGCTTGGGAGTGGGGGTGCATCAGAAAATATGAAGAAACTGGATCTATCTGGGTTAAGACATACTAATAGAAACTTACCGAGAGGTTTTTGCGGGCAATACTCCTCATCATTTATGTCATTTATGTCATTATTTGCGGGCTGCAAGTTTTCGTCATCAGAAAGCGCTACATCTACGTAAAAAATTTGTTCGAAATATATTTTTAGTTTATACTTATTATTTTATGAATCGGTTATTTGTAACTTTCTGTACATTAATAGCAGTCGAGATCTTCGTATAAAATAACACAAGGACATTTAATTTAAAAACATTTTGTTAATAACAATATTATTACCAATAAAATAGCCTTAGCCAATTTAATATAAATCAAGAGAGAACGCTACAGTCGAGCACAGACAGTGTAATACCCTGTACCCAGGCAAATTTCCGACATTGAGCTATATGCGACCCCTAGCTGCAGCAAAAAGAAGAAGAGCGTACCTGATGCTGCAGCTTGGAGGCGAAGTACTGGAGCGACACTGTTTCGCTAATAACTTTTCTTAGAATTGACCGAATGGGATGAAATTTGAAACAAAAGTAGTTAATTATATTGCGTGTGCAAAATTTGGTTTATGCAGTTTTTGAAATGTAGACACTATTGACGAAATTCTGTAGCGGGGGAAGGGGAGGGAATTTCAAAAAAATAAAATAAACTCCTCCTTTCTCGGACATAGGAGAATTTGGATACCAACTTTGGTTATTCCAGCTTTTATAGTTTCTATTCATTCATCGAGATAGACGGACAGACATGTCTAGATCAATTTCTCTCCTCATGCTGATCAAGAATATATATACTTTATGAGGTCGGAAAGGCTTCCTCCTGCCTGTTACATACTTTGCACAAACCTAATATATCCTTTTTACCCTACGGGTACGGGGTAAAAAAAGATTTTCGGAATTTAATTTGAAGCTTATGCCTAGGGTCGTTCTAGAATAGCTTTTAGAGGGTAAGTATATTATTACTAAAGCTAAGTAAACTACAAAATAACAAACTCAAACAAGGAAGACACTGTCCGACCACAATTAAGGTCAGCACATTAATACACACATTAGTACACATATTAGGTCAACATAAGTTGTTTCTGGTGTTAAAATAATAGTGTTCAAAGATGATGAGTTGACAGCTTAGGTTTTATTAAATGCCAATTACGAGTTAATAGTGATTAGGGCTTGATGTGGAATAAAATTATTTATAAATAATTCTAATAAGAAGGTAATACATACTATTAGGGTCATTTTCATCATTATCAGCATTATCACTATTAAGTGCAGCCATTAATAATTGTGAGACTTGTGTTATTTCATCATAAGTTGCATTGACTCTATAAATATTTTTATGAATATCTTTGTTGTGACCCATAAACCCTGCTAGGCGATCAATTTGAGAATCTGCGACATTTAACAATGAAGTATATGTTGCTAAATGTTTACGCAACATAGTGCCTCTTAAAGCTTGTGGGTTAGAAGCACCGCATTCTTCAGCAAATTTTTTTAATATGGGACATGCTCTTATGTATTCCTTTGCGGAATCTGCAGAGCAGAACACATATATTTTATTTTTTATTCCAGCTTTTTTGCGATTGTCCAGTATGGTATCGATGCAAACATGGTCGAATGGCGTTAAAAGAACTGATACAGTTCTGCCAAGTTTTCCTCGAATTGTTACCCTTGTGTACTGCTTTGCAAATTCTTGTGTTTTTTTGTTAGTTTATTGAAATTATCTTTATCCACCTTTTCATTTATGGCTTGCGCACTTTTATAATTTTCCACAGTTAATCTCTCTAATTCACCAACCCGTCGACGGTTGAAAATGAGCAAGTTTACTAAAGTGCTTTGTACCAGCACAGACCAAGTTTCAACATCGAAGGTATTTTTTAAGAACTTAACAGCTTCTGTAGCTTTTTCTTTGACATATTCGAACAGTATTTTAATGTCTTCTTTAGTAGGAAGTATAATTTTAGCGGCGCGTCTTTTGGTAAATTGATCTTCAACAGCTTTTTTGTTGATATTTATAAATATGTCATGCTCCCATAACTTTATAAAATCGTTGACAGATTGTCGTTTTTCCTGATTTTCCTCTTTAACGTGTTCCGCCCACAAAATCTTCGCAGTTTTTTTAATTAGTGTAGTTAATTTTGTAGCTAAGGAAGGAATTTCAAACGACATAGATTCATTATCCCATTTTGCAACTGTTCGTATACTTTGGACAATTATATCTGTGTGTTTGGGAAGAATGGCATCCTCCAAATCCTTTATTTCGTTGCAATTCTCTTTAAGACAAATTAGAAGGCGACCCAGAGACCTCATGTTTTGCCGTATCATTTCATGCTGAAACTTTTCCCGCTTCTGACACTCAAAGTTTCCATATAAAACAATCAGTCGATCGTATAAAACAGTGTCAGATATTTCATCATCCTTAAAATAGGGCATAACTTGGCGCCGTAAAATGTCGTTAGCTTGTTTATGCATAAAACCTGTCACTTTTCGTCCATTTCGTATAGTATCGCGAGTTCCTTTTTTATAGGAGTTGCTTGAACAATTTCGTATATGAAATCGAATGGTAGATTTTGGGAAAAATCCTCGGCAAAATGTGCAGGTAATAAAATCTTTTGGTCGGAGAGTAGAGTTAGCTCTTTTTTGTCGAGGAACAATTAAAGTACCGGTGTTCAATATATCGTCGGTATTATGCAAAAAATCACCTTCTTTTCTTATTTTATCAATCATATGTTTACGCTCAGGTCCACTTTTTGGGTATCTTAGAAAACTTTTTACCTCCTGCTCATTTTTATGTTTGGCCTCAAGATGACGAGCAAATTTTGTCTGCAAAGTTTTGCAGAACTTACAAAAATGTTGTTTGCATTTTTTTTGTGTAGAACATGGTATAAATAGGTCTTTTAAATCATAAAGAGGAGTTTCAGTAGTAGAAATAGATATACTATTATTTATGGACGAATCATTTATGTTTTCATTTGTAGATGTTTGAAAATTATCATTAGACTGCATTGTAGAGTCTGGCCAATTGGAGCCAAGTTCATTAAGTTCGTCTGTAAAGCCGCTAACGAATCTTGAACTCTCAGTTTGGAAAGTCCCATCAGCTAATTCGGTAGAATCTTAAGTTAATACGAAAACAAAAATACTGTGTTAATTAAAAATTAAACGGGAGAATAAACCGACTTGGATGAAATTAAAAACAAAATTGCATATAGATTATGTGTACAAAGTTTGGATTATGTAGCTTTTGAAATGTGGACAGTATTGACGAAATTGAATTTCAACGTGAACGGTGAACGGAAAATTAAACAAATAATTAACTAGTGCAAATGGGCTACTTACTAAGTATATTCAAGTCTTCGTTTATAAATTCAGTATGTATTTGTTCATCAGCATCTGTTAAATAAAAGATATAAACACATTTAATTTTTGCTTAAGCCAGTGAGAATGTTACAGTTGAGCAAGCCCGATAGTGGCATACCCTATACACAAAAAAAAACTTCTATTATGTTATATGCGTTGTTTCGCGCATATCGAAGGCAAAAAAAAGAGCGACCACGTTGCTGAATGTTAGTGGCGTAGTATTTCAATACTTCGAAACACCCTTTTATTACAAAATAAATCCCCAGACAAAATGAGTTTAATTAAATGAGGCCAACCGATAAACACTATTATACTGAATAAATGAAAACATCTCTATATATATAAAACAGTTTGTCCTGACTGACTGATTGGCAATCAACGCACAGCCCAAACGGTAAGAGCTAGGAAGCTGAAATTTGGACACAAGATCCCTCTTATAGTGAAAGTGAGCACTAAGAAGGGGTTTCGGAAAATTCGAACGCCAAAGGGGGGAAAACGGGCTCCAACGTTTGTATGAAAAATCTACAATTTTCATCCGATTAACTTCAAACTTAGTTTGTATACTCTCACAAAAAATACAAAAAAAAACTGTATACTTGGATTTTCAATATTTTTTCTGCGGCCTGAATAATAATGATTTTCCGGTGGAAAATTCGGTAAACGAAAAGCTATGTGCAATCAACGCACAGCCCAAACGGTTAGAGCTAGGAGGCTGAAAATTGGACACATGTTGTCTTCAGTGGTGTAGGTGAGCACTAAGAAGCGGTTCTGGAAAATTCGAACGCCAAAGGGGGGAAAACGGGCTCCAACGTTTGTATGAAAAATCTACAATTTTCATCCAATTAACTTCAAACTTAGTTTGTATACTCTCAAAAAGAATACAAGAAAAACTGTAAGCTTGGTTTTTCACCATTTTTCCTGGGGCATGAAAAAGGGGGGGTTTTCCGTGGAAAAATTGAAACACAATCAACACCCCACAGCCCAAACGGTAAAAGCTAGGAAACTGAAAACTGGGCTCAAGTATCCTATTATGGTGTAGATGCGCACTAAGAAGGGATTTTGGAAAATTCGAGCTCCAAAGGGGGGAAAAGTAGCTCCAAAGTTTGTTTGAAAATTCTGCATTTCTGAATCGATCAACTTTAAATTTGGTTTTTATAATCTATAAAAGAATACAAACAAAACTGCATACTCGGTTTTTCGAAATTTGTGTTGGAGCTTGAATTATTGGGGTTTTAATATTTATTCATTTTTTCAAATGAAAAGTTTGTGTTATAAATTTTGTCCGATCGATTTCAAATTTGGGTAATATAATCTACGTAACTAAAATTACAACTTTGCATTTAACGATTTTTAAAATATGCATTTTACAAATGCAGGCAGAACAAACAATACAAAATATCAAACAGTTGGGGACAACTAAGTATACATACACATATACAAGCAGCTGTTCGTGTAGTTGCGTGTAAACGGTTGAAGTAGCCAAAGCAAAATGTGAGACACTAATGTGTGAATGTTCATTTGTACAAATGTATGTACATATATACATACATACATATGTATAAAAGTACATTCGTCTTGCACTGACAGGGCAAGAAATGTTAATTAATTAAAAATTATTAACATTATAACATAAACATTTTTATGTTATTTTTTCTTTTTTTAGTACATTTGGCATAAGGGATTTTAGGACAACGGACTACAAGGGCGTACGCAGGTTGGGCAGGGGGGACATTGCTCCCCTTAGAAAGAATTTCGCATTATGAATTACACCAGCACCATATGTATTACATACGTACATACATATATACATACGTCTGTATGTATAGTATGTACATATGTACATCAATAAGTATGTATGTACGTACATACATTCTTATATACATATATAGGTTTGTATGTATGCAGTGGGCCATCGAACACTGTTGTTTAATTGTAATAAATAGTGTTCTATGTTTTCAAATCAAAATTTTTAAAACAACTCGCAAAACTTCTTTCGTTTTGATAATTTACGGCTGTTAATTGCATACGAAAAATGCCAAAAGTTTACAGTTACCGTACACACACAAATACATTTGTATGTATGTATGTACATATGTGTACAGTGAACAATCGAATACAGTATTATAATCAATAACTCTCAAACGATGTTTTTCGATGTATTTGTATTCGACATGTATTACGATATATCAACACAAGTATCGATATTTTCGATATATCGCATTTAATTTTATTATTGGGGTTTTAATATTTATTCACTTTTTCAAATGAATAGTTTGTGTTATAAATTTTTTCCGATCGATTTCAAATTTGGGTAATGTAATCAACATAACTATATCAACAAATTGGCATTCAACGTTTAAAATATAGCAATATGTTTTTTACTTTCCATATATCAAATATCAAATAGTTGGGGACATCGCATACACACACTCACACATACATACAACAAGCAACAGTTCGTGTCTAGGTGTGCCCATGCATACATACATATGTACATGCATATGCATGTATGCCTGTATATGTATGTAGCATGTACATACAAAACAACAACAACAACTTTAAGTTGTTGGCTCGCACATCTTCTTTCGTTGTGACCATTTAATGTTAATTGCAAAGGCAAAACGCCAAAAGTTTACAGTTACCGTCGCTAAGCAACGACTGCGTAAGCGATAGTAAAGCAGAAACCGAATAACGGAGCTACGCATATTCTGCTTCGCATTGCGGGCAGATGTATGTATGTATAATTTGTTCTTATTGATCTCAATAAATAATTAGATTTTATTATTTAAATATTCTGCTTATTGCATTCAAACTTCGATATTTTGATGGTATCGGTGGCTTCAACTATCGAAAGTTTTACTCTAGCAAATTGAGATGAGAATTGTCAGTGCTTTTTGATCGTGGCTCATCGCTGCACGGCATTGACACGAGTGCCGTGTTTCATATTCCGAGTTTGTGCGTGACCGTATTGACTCAATATGACACGAAAAGGCTCAAATGTGAATTTAAAATTAGGATATACCCTTATAATTATTCCCCCTTTTTTGCAAATCGTCTATCTTAAAACGTTGCGTTATCTCTATATATAAAACAGTTTGTCCTGACTAATTGGTGATCAACGCACAGCCCAAACGGTAAAAGATGAAATTTGGACTCAAGTATCTTTTCATAGTATCCATCATAGTGTAGGAGCACACTAAGAAAGGCTTTTGGAAAATTCTAGCTCCAACGGGGGGAAAACGAGCTTTAAAAAATATTAGTTCTAGTGGTCATGTTCGTTGAAGGAAATAGTTTGGCAAGAACAAAAATGTAACGGACTACTGAACAATTTTTTGTCAAGAACAGAAAATGTTCATTTAAATACCTTAAATGCCTTCCTACTGGTAACTTATAAGGTGAAAACATATGGGTAGGTTATGCACACACAAAATAAATACAATTGGAAACATTATATTGAGCCGGGTTAAGACGGGCAATACCTGCTAGTTTTTAATAAATAAATAATGTATCTCAAAAACGTTTCGTCTTCTTACATAGGCAAATTACTTAGAAGCTGTAAAATCGACCCCCTATATACATGGTGTCCATTAAAGACCAGTAGTGAGAAGAGCTTAAAAATGATAATTGAAATGCTGCATATTATGTACGAAAAAGTTAATTTTTCTAATATAAAAATTTGTAACAGTCTAGAGTCTATTGTATATTCTGTTCTTTAAATAATGGTAATTTCAAACTTACTGCTCCGGCGCTTGCGTTCGGGCGGGATGAATTCCTCATCATTATCATTGGTATTGTCATTGTCAGGCTTACGAACTGATTCTTCTTCAGAAAGGAGATCATCATCTATCACAAAAAAAATAATAATAATTAGAATTATATGTTATTTTTTGGGAAGCTAAACAAAATGCTTACTCAAAGTGGTCCCTATTAGATATGTATTCTAAAACAACATTCCGGTGTTGTAGAACAATTTAATACATACACTGGTCGTCACTTGAATAAGAACATAATTGTGTTCAGATTATTTTCATTTTTCCCCATTATACTTGTATTTTTATTACAAATTACTTTGGTTTCTAACTTTTTAATACTACCGTTTTTTTTTTTTTTTGTTTTTTTAGCTATTTTTGGCTCACAAATACAGAACAAAAATGCACCTTTATTTTTGCAGATTGCTTTGATTGCAGCTCGTCCAAAAATAGCGCGTCATTAAAATAAGAACATGATACTATTAGTCTTTCGATCGCTTTGATGTCAGGTTTGACAGATATATGTTTTATTAACCGATTTGGATGAAATTTGAAAGAAAAGTAGATATTTGTATAACGATTACGTGTGCAAAGATTGTTTTTTTTTTTTTTTTTTGTAGCTTTTGAAGTATGAACATCTCGTTGGGTTTCTGGGCGCAACTATATGACCTGAAATCGGAATGTAAACATTTTTTACGATTAAAAAAATGATGGAGAAACATCAAAGTCGCCAAGACGGTGTTGTCGTCTACGGAGATACATCGTTTTATAAAAGTTGTGAACTTCAATTTCTAACTGATTTGCAAAAAAGTTCTGGTGAAGACATTTTTTGTACTGGCTTTCCGGAAAAGCAGGAAGGAGGTGCTTCTAAATGCCTTTAAAGCCACCTAGTCAGAAATTTATCTTATAGTAACTACGTTAAAAGCATTTATGATTCTCTCCAAAGTCGTACATACCAAGGTACATTAAAAAAGGATGGATGCACACATTAGTGAAACATTATGAATATTATAGACTCATCATTAAATATCCAAAACATCCATGTTGTTATTTATTTTTCTCAATATTGAAATAGAATTAATAAGTGTTTTTATTCAAGTGACTTCAAAAAACATCTTTATTTTGCAGTTGAATTTGTAAAATTTGATTAATTAAGAGATAACGCTACAGTTGAGCAAACCCGACAGTAATACCCTCTACACAGGCAAACTTCCGAAACTGAGCTATATGCGCCTCTAGCAGAAGAAAAAGGAAGAAGAAGAGTAAACTTGATGCAGCAGTTTGTGGGTATAGTCCACATAGCAGTTGGCGGCTGTCAGTCGCTATACCAAATGCTCTGATTAAAACGCAATTTGTAGAGTTGCAATCAAATGAGTGTCTACGTTAAATTTTAAATCGTCCACTTTTAATAAAAGCCAATTTTGCTATAAATAGATAATTGAAGGAAAGCAAAGTATAAAGTATAATATTAAACGTACAGGATTGTAAAAGTATAAAGATCTTTAAACTATCTATTTGGACGATTTAATATGTTGACCTGTGTATGTATGTAAGTAAGAAATATGATAGTCGTTCATACAAATGTGCGAATTCTTGAGGATTGTATGTATGTAAATAGTACACATAAATTTGTATTTAAATAACTGCACTTGTACATACATACATGCATATGTTCATATGTAGAAAAACCCATACAAAATTGTGTGTATGCTCAAATGTATACATATATGTATGTATTGGCATGTGCACCAGCGTGAGGACGCGCACTATTTTCGCGCCTTTATACTGGTATACAGGTATGTCTATGCTAACTTTATGTATATACATACATACATACGTACATGTATACGCGTAATTCTTTCAATGGGACTCACGCTGTTTGCGTGCCTTCTTATATACATACATATGTATGTACATACACATACACACACAGTACATACATGTATACCAGTGCGCTTACCTTAAGATTGCATAAAGAACATACATATATATGTACATAATAATACATATGTATGTAAAATTTATACATGCATACATATGTATATGTATGTAAAGTATGTAAAGTACTTTCAGGTTCATTTGAGTCAAATTATTGCTCGATATGAACACTTAAGTTCGATAACACAATGTAGCAAAACAGTCTTATCGCAATTTTAATAATTACCCTTACAGAGCATGTATTCTCACCATTGCTATATTTGTAACACATCGCATGTAGCTATAATAGGAATGATTGGTGTATAATTTACGCTTGCTATAATAGCATGATTTTTTACACAATCGCAGTTAAATTGAAATTTGTAAATTTTTATAATGCCTACTACTATCAAAAAGCACTCAAAGGAACGATTGTAAATAAATCACATTTAGTATTAAAGCGATTTATGGTTAGCTATGACTTTTCCACCAAAATGTGTATTAATAGATTTCTTATTATTCAGTAATATAATCTAAAGTTTCATCAAAATCGTCGCACTTTATCAAATAGCCGTCATAGGAACATCTGATAAAATAAAACAAGAGGGAACACTACAGTCGAGTAAGCCAGTCAGTGGAATAACCTGTACCCAGACAAATTTCCGTCACTGTGTTATATACGCCCCCTAGTAGAAGCAAAAAGAAGAATAAGAGCGAACTTGAAGCTGCAGTTTGTGGGCGTAGTACTAGAGTAAAACTGTTTTGCTAATTACTTTTCTTAGAATAGACCGATTTGAAAATTTAAAACAAGAGTAGATATTTATATATAAATTACAAGTGCAAAGTTTGGTTAATATTGCCTTTGAAATATTGATCCAAATTGAACCAGTATGCATATTTATAGCTGTCATCAGTACGATTGGTGAATAAATCACTCTTAGTCTTAGAAAACTATAAGTTTTATTATGATTTTCTCATTGAAATCTATTTACGGATCTCTTATTATGCCTCAACACATCATATAGCATTCAAAGGAACAATTTGTGAATAAGTCACTTTTAGTTTAAAAGCTGTATATAATTTTACGAGTTTTCCACCAAAATGTGTATTTATGGATTTTTTATTATGCCTAAGCATAATCTGAAGGTTCATCACAATCTGAGCAGTATGTCATATCACTGCCATAAGTACGATTGGTGAATAAATCACTCTTAGTCTTAGAAAACTATAGGTTTATTAAGATTTTCTCATTGAAATCTATTTACGGATTTCATATTATGCTATAACATAATTTGAAATGGCCTCAAATTCGGAGCACTATATCGTATAGCATTCAAAGGAACAATTTGTGAATAAGTCACTTTTAGTTTAAAAACTGTGTATCATATGACGAGTTTTCCACCAAAATGTGTATTTATGGATTGTATTATGGATTATGCCTAAGTATAATCTGAAGGTTCATCACAATCTGAGCAGTATGTCATATCACTGCCATAAGTACGATTGGTGAATAAATCACTCTTAGTCTTAGAAAACTATAGGTTTATTAAGATTTCCTCATTGAAATCTATTTACGGATTTCCTATTATGCCTCAACATATCGTATAGCATTCAAAGAAACAATTTGTGAATAAGTCACTTTTAGTTTAAAAACTGTATATCATATTACGAGTTTTCCACCAAAATGTGTATTTATGGATTTTTTATTATGCCTAAGCATAATCTGAAGATTCATCACAATCTGAGCAGCATGTTATATAACTGTCATATGTGCGATTGGTGAATAAATCACTCTTACTCTTAGAAAACTATAAGTTTTATTATGATTTTCTCATTGAAATTTATTTACGGATTTCCTATTTTGCCTCAACATATCGTATAGCATTTAAAGAAACAATTTGTGAATAAGTCACTTTTAGCTTAAAAACTGTATATCATATTACGAGTTTTCCACCAAAATGTGTTTTTATGGATTTTTTATTATGCCTAAGCATAATCTGAAGGTTCATCACAATCTGAGCAGTATGTTATATCACTGCCATAAGTACGATTGGTGAATAAATTACTCTTACTCTCATTGAAATCTATTTACGGATTTCATATTATGCCTTAACATAATCTGAAATGGCCTCAAATTCGGAGCACTATATTGTATAGCATTCAAAGGAACAATTGATGCTTAAATCACTGTATTTTAAAACAACAGAAAACGTTACAGAAGCCGAAAGAAGAAGAGCGAACTTGATACTGGAGTGAAATTGTTTCACTAATAGCTTTTCTTAAAATTGACCGTTGTGGATTAGATTTAAAATAAAATTAGATATTTTTATACAAATTACGTGTGCAAAGTTTGGGTTATGTTGCTTTTGAAATATTGATATTATACGAAATTCTGTTCTCTCGTCATGCTGAGCAAGAGTATATGTATATACTTTATGAGGTCGGAGATGCTTCGTTCTGCCTGTTACATACTTTGAACAAACCTAATATACCCTTTTTATTCTACGGGTACAGGGTATAAAAACTGTTCTTTTAATTCATGTTGGAAAGTTTTAAACGCACGTATTTTATGAAAAGTATTTACAGTCATTTTATTATTTTTCTCAGCAAGTTCGTATATCCATATATACCACTGATATACTATAAGCACCTTAATACTATATATTTCACTTTATTCAAACTTATTATGTACTATATATATACATATGTGAAATACGAAATTTTCCATCAAAAGTAAATTTTCAGACGTAACGATAATTTTAAGGACTGGGAACAGTTCCTGAGAACAGTGCAGAACTACACACATCGTAAATTGTGGGGACACTGTCCTCGAAATGGTTAAAACATAAGTTCTGGTCTCAAAATCATCATTAGGCCTATATATAATATAGTGTTGCCACATCGGTGGAAACATGTAACAAGAATATATCGAAAAAAGCCATTAAATACAAGTTTTATGAACATTTTTTTAATTTTTCATATAGCATTACATACCGTTAAGATAAACAGACCAAAATTTGTCAAATTATTAAAACAGATTTTTAGTAAATTGCTTTAATGTCATGTGTCCTCAAAATTAGCGTTATACATATTTTTTCAAAATTTAAAATGGAAAAAAATACAATTTACGGCGTATACATAGACATGACACAGGTATATTTTTGGTTCAATT